GTCTCACTTTTACCAATGTCGATAGAAGTGTGAGGGGGAGCACTACTGCACTACTCGGTGCGCATTACTGCACCTAATCAAATTCGCTATAAAAGATTTATTGTCGTCAATTCACAATGACGGCGATAGCAACAAGAATTGTCTAGTCAGAGTCATTCCCCATGTAGTGTAATTTGCGTAACGTAAACTACGTCAACCAATCAAATCGTCTAATAAGAATCTAGACGGATTTGTGTAGAGTAGCTGAGACAATTTGATTGGATGACGCAGTTTACGCTTACGCAAGTTACGCTTACGCAAGTTACGCTTACGCAAGTTACGCATGGGGAACCAACCTCAGATGCTTTTTTTCCTGCTGGTTTGCTAGCTGAATTTGGGTATTTGTTGAGCTCTTGTCTTCGATTGATTTATTTTTTTAGATCTAAAAGAAAAGCAAGCAGGCAAATCCAGCAGGAAAAAAGCATCGTGTGCCGCTGGCTTTATTCCCTGTTCCTGTTATTGCCTATGTTTTTTCATTGTGCATCCAGCTTTATAATCTTGTGTTATGGCTATTGTAGACTAGGCTTTATTATGTCAATTCGGAAATAATTGTTTCGCTAACGACGAAATCATATTTTTTTTTTTATCGATATCGTATCGTTAGCGCAAGTTATAGAATAGCTTTATAATTACAGTGTTATTCGCGCGAGCGGTGATCGTCGCTAGTAAGAATAGCGACTGTCGTTGTACAAAGTTGGAGAATAGTACTTCGATATTACTTATAGTTCGGTGTAATAAATTTTGCCTTATTTGCTATTTAAAATCTAAATGAATATAAAGCACACGCATGTTTGGGACTAAATAAATATCCTAAACTTGAGATGAATATCGCTGAAGATGAAGATGATTTTTGGAATAGCAGTGAAACACGGTCGTTCTGTTTCGAAAACGAGGTTATGATTGTAATGAGTTTTATAGCGGATTTGGTACTAGCTGCCCTGTATCAGATCAATGCATATTAAAAGCCAATACATATGAATCATTTAGATGCAATGGCGTGATATTACTTTTATGATTAACGCATATTCTGTTAAATATAACAAACTCATTGTTGACTATTTATATAATCTTCTTCAAAATATTTATGTACTTTTATATTTCAATAATTTCATGTGTAGTAGTATTTGATGTGCGTCAGGTATAATGCGGATGCACATAGTAAATAGAATTTATTATAAAAATGAAATTACAGGTGGATCAATTGAAAAATGATACTGAAAAACTATGGTCTGGAATCTTTAGTATATCAAACCTTGACAGTAGCGACCTGCAATCAACCACTGACTTTCAAATTACAAAACCTTTGCTCTCAATCATATCTGAAAAAACACTTTTAAGAAGTATGCAAAGAATGACGAATATATCTTTTATAATATTAATATATTATAATAATTTTAATTCTAAAATTTTTTAAATATTTTGTAGTTTTAGATGCAGATGACAAATCACAGAACAGTTATTCAAAAACAAAAATAAACATCTTGAAATGATTGCTCAGCCAGATATCACTTTGAGACAAATATTGCTTGATCAACCATATTCATTAGAGCAATATAAGTCTCTTGCTAGTAAAACTGCTTTGTTAGATGCTGCTATCTTAAATGGAGATGGAAATGCTATTTTAATAGTATGAGTTTTAAATAGACTCGTATAATTAAGACTTATATAGTTAAAATGACAGTTTTATACACACAAACACGTATGCACACATTTGTTATATATTTGTAATTTTGTACGTGTGTGTGCGCGCACGTGAT